ATAAGGTTAGGTTTAATTGTAGGTGGGGATAGCTCAGTCGATAAAGCATCAGACTTTTAATCTGAGGGTCCAAGGTTTTGAGGCCCTGTTCGGGTGAAAAAACAAAGAAAGACAATTGTCCTTTAGGACAACAGCATGGGAGAGCTCTGTGTGTATAAAAAGGTCCCGAAGCTCTTCCAACGTGCGGAGGACACGGCCATCGTGAAGGTTTTAATCGATAAAAATCCGACACTACCTGGGGTCTTCCCTTAAAAGACTCAGGTGTCTTATGAAGATTTCCTCTACGTAAAGAGAAAAAAAAAAAAAAACAGTAGTATTAGGCCAACTTAAGCGTCCGCACTTAGGGTACCCATCAGTCGCTACCCCCACCAATTCTTAGAATTGGGACCATCTCACTCTACGCTATCGTGATGAAACATGACACTCGCACGACACAAAGCGAGCGATACCTGATACCGATATATTGACACAATTCGCAGAATACACCTCCCCAATTAAGCGTTAGTTCTCAGTCTCGACTGTGGACGCTTAAATGGGCACTGTAAACGAATCAATACATCCAAAAGGACAACATAGTAACAGCGAACATTTTTGCGCAATTTTTACGGATAGAACCAGCGATGAATGAATAATTATTTCCCTACGTATATGATGTTATTTTGATACTTCGGTAGTCGTTGTTAAATTCAACAGTCGTTGCTATTCCTATCGAAGAGTATAAAAGCTGCAAATAGCGAGAACTTTACCGTCTCGGACACTACATTTTTGGTTACTTTTCTTCGTTGAGAGAAGAAGAGACGTGGACTCAGCCGATTTCGCAATAATCTCAAGAAATACATTTTCTTTTCTTTTTTTTTTTACATTTCGTTATCGAAGGTTCGATTCGAATTCATCACATCTGTTATTCGTCAATTTTTCACATTAAGCTTGCTTTCTACGATAATTTCGTAATTCGACTCGAAGGTTATACAAAACTATAATTTTTCTACGCGATCGTAGATTGCGGAAACAAATTTGAAATGTAATTGAACTTTCCTCTTGTTGGTAACTCTTCTGTTTCAGTTTCACTTCTTGAAGTTTTTTTAGGTTACTTTCAAAATCATATTTCTTTTTGTACTTTTTATCTGACAACAATTCGCTTGTGACAATATATTTCACTCATATGTATATTTCATAAATACATGGCACATCCACGAATAAATCCTCCAATTTGATCTGTTAGTTTATGTGCATATATATCTATACATATGCATGTGTGCATATAATTTTTCGATGGATCCAAATAAGAACGCATGCACGCATAAACTTTTATTATTATAGTCTGCAGACTCGAGTGAAGGTCGAAACTTTATTCTTTTCTCTCATTACCTATTGTCTCAATTTTTTTTAATTTCTATACCTTCTCCTATACTGGCCCAATTTTTTTTTCTTCTTTCTATATTTGATATTTTATTTTTATTATTCCCAATTTTTCTATATTATTCTATACTATAATTTTATCTATACTATCTATATATAATTTTATTCTATTACATTAATTAATATATATTAATAATTTTATTGTATAATAATAAATTGTATATTATAGTAATATAATGTATAAATTTTATATTATTATAATATAAATTATACATTAGTAATTTTATTATATAATATTATTCTATACTATAATTTTAATCTCTACTTTCCATGTAGAGAATCTAGAAATAAAGAAATTATTGTCACTGATGGAAATAACCGAGAACTATCGTCACGATTTTATAAAACATTCCTTCGAGCAACTTCCTTCCTACTTGATTTTATTTTTCTGTACAATTTCGATCTGTAGAAATAGCTAGATAACTGGTAGAAGATGAAAAACGAACGCAATCCTCAACGATGTCAACTGCCTCAAACGATGTCAAGAAGCGAACTGTACGTGTTCTTCAACGGTGACCCGACAGGGTGCAAAAGTCGGGACGTTCTCTTCCTCGATCGAGCCCAATCTCGATGACCAATCTTTGACCGCGTCCGCTTCTTCTCTTCCTCGTAATCCTCGACGTAGGTTGAATTCTCTAGGGGGATGAGACGCACCGCTCTGGCAAGAATCGACGACGTCAAAATCGTACTCGAAGTAGCATGAATCCGTTCCTGGCTATGTATCCCGACCAGACAATTTCATGGAAATGGAAATGGTAAAAGATAGTAAAATAAGACATGAAGATAAGACATAATAATATAATAGTATATAATAAAGTAAGAATTACCGTGGCGGGGATTCGAGCAAGTTGTCCAACGTAGACAACGATTTTTCTATTTTCGGTTCTGCGTGCAACGTGGACGCTTCGAATTCGGACCGCGGCGAATCGAACATCGAGCGTATCGCTTGCAATTCCTGCACGTTTCAAAATGGTAGTAAAATTAGCAATTATAAATATAAATATTTTTCTATAACTTTCTACAACTTGCCTTTTTTCGCGACGAGACTGGCCAGATTGGTTGAGTCGCACTTTTCTTGTGCTTTCGCCACTCTTTAACATCGAACTTGATATTTTCAAATATCTGCATATGGAATGTATATATAGAATATAT